TTTTTGGGGGTCTCTAAAACCAGTAAAGCGCTCCCTAAACAAAATTGTTGCTATCTCTCCCATATATATGTTGCCTGATAATGGGAACATGACTTCAATCCCGTCTTAGAAGATGGGGTCTGAAACTCTTTCAAAGCTAATTCACAAGAGTAGAAGTCAGAAATAGATTTATTCAACACAATGCCAAGTAGTTTTCGAAGAAGTACCTAAACAAAATTGGCACCTACTCCTTTTTCTTTCTTGTTCTTTTTTGGGTCCCTAAACCAGTAAAGATCTCCCTAAATAAATTTACACCTAGTGCTTGTAAAAAGCAAATATTTCTCTTTTAAAATTAGCCAGTGGTTAAATCGTTACGACCACAACAGCCTTATCCTGCATTCTAATTATGTAGCAGATAGTAATTCTAGTATTACACACTTCCCCTATAGTACAAAATTACAAACTCTCCTTCCTAATCAGAGGCGGATCCAGCATATCATGAACCTATTGTCTGTGAGATAACGCGGTGCACCCACTAAATAACTTTAAATATTGGATTTACCTCTATATATATGACCTGCAAGACTTGCACTATAATAACATGTAATTAATGGTAATTCTTGCATATTTTAATGCATCCTAAGCACTAGATAAGCTAACTTGCAGTTCATCACCACCATTCGTTGCTTAGACTAAAGGCTCAATTTAGCTTTTCAATTCTTTACTACAGCAATTACAAGACAATGATCTCGCAACAGTTTCCGTCACAGCAAGAAAAGGGTCGAGCCGCTTATCCTACATTCCAATTATGCAAAAGATAGTAATTCTAATATTACACACTTCCCCTATATACAAATTGGCAAATACTCCTTCCTGCATAATCAGAGGCGGATCCAGCATATGATGAGCCCATTTCGGATTCGCCTCTATTAATCATGCCCTGCAAAACTTGCACTATAATCCATGCAGGGGCGGAGGCACAAGCCGAACTACGGGTTCGGTCGAACCCTACTTTTGCTTAATCAATGTCTTTGGTGTTTAGAATGCATTAAATATGTACAAATATTAAATTTAGAACCCAGTTACTAACACTAGAAGTGGTCGTTCTAAAATTAAGAACCCATAAGGTTGAAATTTTGGCTCCGCCTCTGAATCCATGTAGTGGATGGTAAAGCTTTCATCTTTTAAGTGTATCTTAAACCATAGATAAGCTAACTAGCAGTGCATCGCCACCATTAGTTGCTTATAAATTTAGTTTTTCAGTTCATTACTACAACAACTAAAGGAAAATGATTTGGCAACACTTTCAACCATAGCAAGAAAAGGATCGAAAGCTACTGAAGAAAACAAAAAGGGCAGCCCGCTGCACAAGGTGGTCGGGGAAAGGGCTGCAACACAAGGGGTATGATGTAGACAGCATACCCTACATTAGTGGTTGCTTCCACGGCTCGAAACCATGACCTATAGGTCACACCGAGACAACTTTACTGTTGCTTCAAAGCTCCCCTTCTACTGAATTGCAACTAAAAAACTATAATTGTGCAACAATTTTAACTGTAATAAGAAAAGGGTCGGGCCAGATATAAGTGAATGGTCGAAAGGTAATGATATGCAACTAAGGTACCATAGTTTGGTGACAATTTCAACATCATCAAGAAAAAGGGTCAAGCCATATATCAATAAATTGAAGGGGTACTCGTGGCGTAACTGGTAAAGTTGGTGCCACGTGACAAGGTGTTCACGTCCCGCCCTTTCCCGGACCCGCGACCATATATCAATAAATGGTCAAATTAAAGATACATAACTCAAAAGCGCAATTCCAAACCTGGGTTTTTATTGTTGTTGGAATCACCATTTTGCTGAGAGTCTTTTCCTGAACAGCAAGGTTTGAGACCCTTTTGGGTTCTTGGACGACAAGACCATAAACCGTGAGAAGAAATGTTTCTGTACGATAGTCGAATATCCATTGGTATATTTGCTGCTTTGATCAAGAATTTGTCTATAACCACAACCACTACCACAAGTTTTTTCTCTTATTACTGGGACTGTAAGCAAGAAAATATACGTGGTGCATATAGAGAGAGGGTCAAATCTCAAATATTTGGACTTCTCACCTGCTCAGCTAACAACATGAACTCGTTTGATTCCGAAATTAAATTTATGATGGGTTTATTACAAGTTTAGTTAGAGTTGAGATGAAATGACCTCATGTTAACTAATTTCATGTTATTTTTATTTTTATGAAATGATAAAATAACTAATTTTGAAATAATTAATATAATTTGATTTCCGACACGATCCTTATAATGAAAATAATATTTCATACCATCATTAAATTTGACTGTGTATAGTAAGTTCTCATTTTACTTTTTGAATTATCATATCATAAGAAGAGTTATATGTTGAGTTATATGTTGTTGTACGTTAATTAATTTTTAATAATAATTTTAAAATAAAATTTAAATAATTAGGAACTAAGTGTATAAAAGTTACAAGAAATTATAAATTTTATAATTTAATATATTTACTAAAAAAAAGTTGTTTGATATTTCAAATAGTAATAATGTCGTGTAAAGTAAAGCAAGTAAAATAATCTATAGTAGAGAAATTAGCGATTTCGGTCATGTAATCATTGTTATATTAAGGTTTTAGTCCTTGTGTTATTTAACTAAGCATATTTGATATTTTAATTAAACTAATCATGTTATTTTAGATGTTATCCTATAGGCAATGCGAATTAGTTGTACTAAATATTAGTCATGTTAGTATATATAGTAGAGAATATAAAAAAACTTTTAGTACTAAAGAAACTAAAATTTTACTATAATATTGGTATTACACTAGGCTTAAATGGAGCAACATAGACAATAATAATTTATCTAGCAAACTCTAATTGCTTGGAACCAAGTATAATTATTGTCTGTCATAATTATTGTCATATCGCCCATAAAACTAATTGTCTAATTAATTTTGTTCTGGTATGATGGATTAGGAATACCATAAAATTATGGTCTATGGGAAAATCTTAGGCCAAGAGCTTAAACAATTATTTTTAGGGTGTTATTTAGGGATTAGTCAATATTTATTTTGTCCTAAAATTTGAACTAAAAAAATTAACTTCAACATAATTCAGGATATTTGTATCCCAAAAAATTGAATTGAAAAACTAAAATTGAGGACATTGGCTAATTCCTAAAGAGTATCTTTTGGTGTCATTTCTACTAAAATTTTATGTTGGTGAATAAAGACATAAGAAGTTCTGGACCAGTTCCCTTATTCCGTAAACTATTTGACGAGGTTACATTTTTACAATCTGGTAATTTATACCCAATGAGTGAAAAGTACCTCTCTACTATAAGCTAAAAGCAAAATCTCATTGCCTTTTCCTTTATAATAAATTTTATTTCTCTAACGACATTTTCTAGACTTGTAGGTCGTTGAAAATTTAAGGGATTATGGCACAATATAGCCGTCCCTCAAAATAATAGCCATTATAAGTATATATTTTTGTATATTAATATATAATCAATGTGATATTTTTTATATTTGGCTAGCGACTGTAATTACTTTTTGGCCGACTGGACAAATGTGTTAAGTTTTAAAGGGAATTATGTGCTTAAGCCCAACAAATCTTTAGGCTTAGAATACACATCATTCAGGCTCGACCCATGCTATATATTCACATTTCAGAACGAAACCCTAGTTTTCACTCTACTCTTCTACCCAAAAACCCTAGCAGTAGCAGCTTCTCCTCCAATGGCCACC